ACTTTGCATCCTCTTTTTAACTACAGTCACTCTTTTCATGGATCTTATCCTCTTTCTTGGCTTTAAATGATCACCCATAGTCCGACAATTCTCAAATGGATATCCATGGTGCGAACCTCTCCCCTGGATTCCAGACTCACATGTTCTACCGCCAATTCATTGTTTCCATGGGATTTTTTTTTTTTTCCTTTTTTTAAAAAAAACTTTGAGATGGAGTCTTTCTCTGTTGCTCAGGCTAGAGTGCAGTGGCATGATCTTGGCTCACTGCAACCTCCACCTCCTGAGTCCAGGTGATTCTCCTGCCTCAGCCTCCCAAGTAGCTGGGACTACAGATGCCCACCATCATGCCCAGCTAATTTTTGTATTTTTAGTAGAGATGGGGTTTCACCATGTTGGACAGGCTGGTCTTGAACTCCTGACCTCAAGTGATTTGACTGCCTCGGCCTCCCAGAGTGCTGGGATTACAGGTGTGTGCCACTGCGCCCAGCACCCATGGGATTTTAAATAGGTATCTCAAGCTTAGCACACCCAGGGCTGACCTCCTGCCTCTTCTTTTCCAAACCGGCTCTCTCTATGGTATTTCCAGCAGCAGTTCTGTCCTTGCAGGTGTTTAGGCCAGAATCATGGGCTGTTTTTTGAGCCCCTGTTTTCTCTAACATTTCTTTTTTTTTTTTTTGAGACGGAGTCTCGCTGTGTCTCCCAGGCTGGAGTGCAGTGGCACGATCTCGGCTCACTGCAAGCTCCGCCTCCCAGGTTCACGCCATTCTCCCGCCTCAGCCTCCCAAGTAGCTGAGACTACAGGCGCCCGCCACCACGCCCAGCTAGTTTTTTGTATTTTTAGTAGAGACGGGGTTTCACCATGTTAGCCAGGATAGTCTCGATCTCCTGACCTCGTGATCCACCCGCCTCGGCCTCCCAAAGTGCTGGGATTACAGGCTTGAGCCACCGCGCCCGGCCCTTCTCTAACATTTCAAATATGACTTGTTAGCAAATCTTGTAGCCTGTACTTCAGAGTATACTGTGAATCCTGTCCTTTCTCACCATGTCTGCTGCACGCTGGTCCAGGCTGTAGTCTCACTCCTGGTTCATTTAGGTGACTTTGTAACTAGTTTCTCTGCTTGTTTGTTCCCCTTCAGGCTCTTCTCAACACAGGAGTCGGAGTGGGGTGATCCTGCTCCAACAGAGGTAGGACATCCCACGCCCTTCCCCAGAACCTTCTGGGGCTCCCTGTTGCTCGTCGAGTGAATGTCCAGTCCTCACTGTGGCCTTTGAGGCCCTTGCAGTGTGAACTATGGCTCTTGCCACCCCCTCTGCCTCTCTGGCCCCGGCATTCCACCTTCTCCCCGCGCTCACTCTGCTCAAATGCTCTGCCCCGATCAGGCTCTTTCACCACTCCGGGAGCCTCTGCACTTGCTGGAATCCCTTTATAAATAAATATAAATGACATAGTTCTATGGATTTTGTCCCAGCGTCCTCCTTCGCTTGCTCCAGGCCTTTCCTTAACCGTCACCTTTTCAGCAGGTCCTCCATCTGTCTGATCTGAAGTGGCCTCCCTCTCTTCTCTGTCTTCTTGTCCCTCCTTTGTATGTGTTACTCTCTAACATTCTATGTATTGTGTTTACTGTTTTTTAACTTTTTTTTGAGACTGAATCTCACTCTATCACCCCAGTTGGAGTGCAGTGGCGCGATCTTGGCTCACTGCAACCTCCGCCTCCTGGGTTCAAGTGATTCTTGTGCCTCAGCCTCCCAAGTAGACAGGATTACAGGCACCCACCACGACGCATGGCTAATTTTTTGAATTTTTAGTAGAGATGGGGTTTCATCATGTTGGCCAGGCTGATCTTGAACTCCTGACCTCGAGTGATCCGCCCGTCTCAGCCTCCCAAAGTGCTGGGATTACAGGCGTGAACCACTGCGCCCGGCCTTTTTTAACTTTCTGACTCGCACACTGTAGCATTAACCCTCCAGAGACAGGAATTTTGATCCCTTTGATCATTGCTCCGTCCTCAGTACCTGTGAGACTGCCTGCCATATGGCAGACATCCCGTAATGTTTGTTGAATGGATGACAGAGGGAATGGGTTGCCAGTTGGTGATGGGCCGAAGGGAATTCTTGTTGTTTGTTTTTTTTTGGCAGATGCGACTCTTGTTTGCGCCCAGGCTGGAGTGCCAGTGGTGCGATCTCGGCTCACTGCAAGCCCGCCTCCCAGTTTCAACGCCATTCTCTGCCTCAGCCTCCGAGGTAACGTGGACTACAAGTGCGCACCACCACGGACCCGACTCATTTTGGTATTTTTAGGTAGAGATGGGGTTTCACCGTGTTAGCCAGGGTGGCTTGATCTCCTGACCCAGTGATCTGGCCCGCCTCGGCCTCCCAAAGTGCTGGGAGTACAGGCGTGAGCCACTGTGCCCGGCCTGAATTCTTTATTATTATTATTATTATTTGAGATGGAGTTTTGCTCTGTCTCCCAGGCTGGAGTGCAGTGGCATGATCTGCGGCTCACTGCAACCTCCACCTCCTGGGTTCAAGAGATTTTCCTACCTCAGCCTCCTGAGTAGCTGGAGATTAAGCATTGGCCACCACGCCCAGTTAATTTTTGTACTTTAGTAGGACGGGGTCTCACCATGTTGCCCAGGTTAGTCTCGAACTGCCCTGGCCTTCAAGTGATCCACCCTCTTCAGCCTCCCAAAGTGTTGGGATTACAGGTGTGAACCACTGTGCCCGCCTGAACTTATTATTTTTAAATAGCTATGTTATTTCACCACTTTTTTACTCTTAATTATGACAGTTCTCAAAGTGGGAAAAAGAATAGAGAGGAATATGTAACACATACCCCAAATACCCATCATCAAGATTGTAACATTATCAACATGATTTAACAATTATCAACATGATTTAACAATTATCAACATTTTGCCTTACTTTATATATTTTGGGGGTAAATTTTACAGATATCATAGAGATATACTACATTTCTAAAAATTAAGGACTTTCTGTGTCACCACAGTACCTCCTTTTTTTCTTGAGACAGGGTTTGGTTCTGTCCCTCAGCTGGAGTGCAGTGGCGCAATCTTGCTTACTGTGGCCTCTGCTTCTTGGACTCAAGCAATTTTTCCACCTCAGCCACCTGAGTGTGTGAGACTACAGGGCATACCACCAGCCTGGCTACTTTTTGTACTTTAGGAGAGACAGGTTTTCACCATGTGCCCAGGCTGATCTCAGACTCTTGAGCTCAAGCAATTCACCTGCCTTAGCCTTCCCAAAGTGCTGAAGATTACAGATGTGAGCCACTGCGCCTGGCCTGCCACGGTACCCTTATCACACCTATTAAAAACCTGACAGTAATTCCAGTTTGTTATCTAATGCGTACTGTTCCACATTCAATTTCCTAGATTGTCCTTTCCAGCTAGTTTGTTCAAATTGGAGATCCAGTAAAGAACTAAACCATTGCAATTTATTATGTCTTTTAAGTCCCTTCTAATATAGACTGGGTCCCCTCTCGACTTCTGTCCCCACCCCATCCCACCATGACATGACTAGTTGAAGATTGCAGACAAGCCCAGCTGTCCTGTAAAGTGTTTGTATCTCCTGGATTCTGTTCTGAATGCTTGTCTTTTCTTTCTTGTTTGGATTTGTGTTTTGTTTTGTTTTGTTTGTTTTTGGAAACAGAGTTTTCACTCCTTTGTTGCCGCAGGCTGGAGTGCAGTGGAGCAAACTGCTCACTGCAACCTCGCGCCTCCGCAGGTTTCAAGCCATTCTCCGGTCTCAGTCCTTCGGCCAAGTAAGCTGGGTTACAGGCACTCGCCACCACACGGGCAAATTTTGATATTTCGAGTAGAGACGGTTGTCACTATGGCCGGCAGGCTGGGTCTTGATACTCGTGACCTGAGGGTGATCTTGCCTTCCTCAGCCCTCCCAAACTGCTGGAGGTTACAGGTGTGAGCGCACATGCCCGCCTGAATGCTTTCTTCTGAAGTCATTTGACTTGTTCTCTTTTTCTCTGTGTTATCTGCAAACTAGATGTGTGTTTTAAAGGTTGATCAATTGAAATTCGTTGAATTAAGTTTCATCTCTGAAGCCACTTCTCTGTAGCCACAGGGAGCTTTGGGATGTGAAGGGCCTGGTGTTTGCAGGAGGATGGCCTAAGAGCCTGGGTCTGTGTTTACTGAGATCTTAGTAAGTTTTGTGCAGTCATCTTGAGATGATGACTTCCCTCAGCCCTCAGTTCCTGATAAACCACCCTTGAGGAAGGCCTCTGGGACCTCTAAGGTCTGGGGTGGGGGAACCTCCTCCAGGTTTGTGGTTTCACAGGTAGAATAGAGAGCTCTGCGCCTGGATTGGGCAACGTCTCTTCTAGGTTTTGCCTTCCTTCTCCTCTTTGTACCTCCATTTGGGGCAAACAGAAGTCAGCTTTGGGGTACCCCACTTTCCCTTTGTGAAGATTAGTGTCTTCCTGGTCGGTGATCAAGTTGGCTTGTCTTTACAGGAGGAAGTGGAGGTTCTCTAAGACGTGAGGCCGAGACCGAGTGTTCTCATATTTTCGTGCTTTGTGCTCTGTGATTTCTTTCCCCCAGAGTTTCCTGTTGTTGTTGTTTTTGCAGATAGGATAATGAATTTCTTTGTGGGCAAAAAGATAAAAGTTTTCCATAAAATGCACGGAGGATAAAATGCACAGAGGACTGGAGAACTACTTATGAACTCTGGACTGGAGGGGAATCTTGAAAATCATGACAGAATGTGAGATAGGGAGTATAATCATGAACTGAACTGATTTTCTTGGATCTTGGTTTCTGAACAGCTTATTTTATAGTATAAGCATACTAAGTATATGGTTATCATATTGTCTAATCATTTTAGATGTATGGAATATGTTAATCCAGCTTTTATTGGTCGTGAATTAGGAAGTACTCATATTACCAAAATGGCATTATAAGGAAAAGCTGCCATGATCTAATGTAATGCCAAATTACGACCTCCTCATTTCTTTCTTTATGACACAGGAAATCCGGGATCCTCTTATGCAGTGGCTTGGGAAACACGTGGACGCCGAGGGAGAAATAAAATCCAGCCAGCTCTCTCTTAGATTTGTTTCATCCTACGTGTCTGAAGTAGAAATAACCCCATCTTGTATACCTGTGGTGACCAACATGGAGGCCTTCTCATCAGAAAATTTCAACTTGGAGATCTATCGCCAAAATCTGCAGACCAAGCAGTTGGGGAAAGTAATTTTGTTTGCCGAAGTGACCCCCACAACGATGCGTCTCCTGGATGGGTAAGGTGTGAGCAGGCCTCCTGCATCTGCTCGGAGGAATCCTGTTCCGTTGAGCATCCTCTCTTACCAATAGTGGAGGAGGGGATAGAGTTGTAGAGGAATGTGTTTGACGAGACCTGTTAGCAAGGTGGAAGTACTCTTGTCCCAGAAGAGTTAAATTGTGGAGAAGGAAGGTGAAGTTCTTTGATCACAGATTTGTTTTTTATGGGAATGGAAGGTGGTTGGTTGTGCTTTGTGTCTTGCTTCCTTGAATCAGGCCTTCAAAATGTTCTTTGATAAACTGTTATGAAAAAATATGTGTAACCGGTGGCATTATTGCTCAGGTTATCATTCTTCTTTTGTGCAGTTACAATCAGTGTTAGACATTTAATTTAAGATGTTTTTCAGGGGCATTTGAATAGGAAGTTTGAATGGCATCTAAGCTGTGTAAATTGAAAAAAGTCAGAGCTTTGTATTTTGAAAAGTGTTTTTAGTACATTGCTATCCAATACTTTTATTTATTTATTTATTTTTGGAAACAGGATCTTGCTCTGTCACCCAGAGTGGAGTCCAGTGGTATAATCGCGGCTCACTGCAGCCTCGACCTTCTGAGCTCGAGGGTTGCTCCTGCCTCAGCCTCCCAAGTAGCTGGGACTATAGGCACACGTCACCATGCCCAGATAAGTTTTGTATTTTTGGTAGAGACAGGGTTTCCCCATGTTGCCCAGGCTGGCCTCGAACTCCTGGGTTCAAGTGATCCTCCTGACTCAGCCTCCCAGAGTGCTGGGATTTTAGGCGTGAGCCACCATGCTCAGCCCCAGTACCTTTTCTAAAGCAGTCCATAACCCCATTTGGATATTTGAAATTTACTCTTATTGCAGGTTTTCCTTTTGATTCCTTCTGTTATGTAGACTCTGACTAAAGATTAAAAAATGGAAAATAAAGAAATTGTTTTAAACTCCCCAATAGTACTAATACTATTTTAGTTTTAAAAATTGGGGTATAGGCTGGGCACGGTGGCTCACTCCTGTAATCCCAGCACTTTGGGATGCCGAGGCAGGCGAATCACGAGGTCTGGAGATCGAGACCATCCTGGCTAACATGATGAAACCCTGTCTCTACTAAAAATACAAAAAATTAGCTGGGCGTGGTGGTGGGCGCCTGTGCTCCCAGCTACTCGGGAGGCTAAGGCAGGAGAATGGCGTGAACCCAGGAGGCTGAGATTGTGCCACTGCACTCCAGCCTGGGCGAGAGCGAGACTGCGTCTCAAAAAAAAAAAAAAATTGGGTTATAGAGGGAGGGAATAACAAAAGTGCCTTCCTTCAATGTGGGGTCAAAATTTAAGGAGTGAAATATTCCAAAAATAACTGGATTCATAGTTTCTAAGCATTTCACTCATGGGACCACGTGATTAGACAGAGGTATAATTCAATGTATGGGAATATTTTGGCCTGTTTTCTTCATAATAGTTTCTGGAATTTAATGCTATATTGATATAAAATGAGGAGCCAACTTTAGCATTTTCTTGACTGTCAAACTTAGGGTCATCGGAATGGCAGTTTTGGTATATGTGTTGTATTAGAGGAGGCATTGGCGGAATCGTTTGGGAGGATTATCAGAATAACGGGGGCGAACTGGGAGGGGAACTGTGAGCCGTGTTCATTAACAATTGTTGTTTACTGAGTTAATTTGTATTGTCATAGGTACTTTTATTTTTCAGCATTTCTTAACTCTCCTGCCTCCACCCCACCCCCGACATCCATTGCTTCCCAGTAGAAAAGGAAGAAGCCTGTTCTTGTAGATGGAACAGTCATCACTTGCTTGTTGCAAACTCTGTGATAATCCTTTGTTACTCAAGTGAAGACTTTATTATACTGAAGGGGTAACTCGTGATAGTTACATTTTCTGGATAAAAAAATCAGATAAGTTATTAACAAAAGATTGGGGGGGGCAAAGTTCAGATAGAAAAATACGGGTACTTCCAGGCCATTTTTGTTGTTTCTGTGGAGAATACTGAAGAATATTTCGTGTCAGCACCATCTGGGAACCTTGGAAGTGTGGTCCTAGAGCTTGTGGCCAGGGCAGCATGTCATCAGGAGGGCAGCACACGCCCTGAGAATGTGGACGGGCCAAGGCTCCCGCGCATCTGCCCAGGGCTGGGCTTCACCACATGCTGTCCAGCCTGAGTTTTTGTGTGAAGAAAGAACCTGTATAAATATATTGCCTTAATATTCTTGGATATCAGGAAGTTCACTTTTGATATTAAACTTAAAAAAAAACAAACCCCTCTGCCTTAGGAAACTCAGGTCTGTAAAAGTGTCTGACAGACATTGAAGCTGAGCTTGCCAACACTAGAGGTGGAACCTCCCATAGGATTAAGAGTTTTTATTTTTTTCAAAGGGGGAAAAATATTTTGGCCTTTCTGAGGGTGTTTTGGAATCTTTGTTTCTCTTCTTGTTTAGTTTGATGATTAATTATTAATCCCTCACTTGGTGCAGAGCTGATACTGAATGAATGGTTGTTGACGGCCTTAGCTTTCCATAGACGCCCTGCATCCACTGTTCGCAGGGGTTCCTTCCTAAAACTATGAAGTGAAGTTACTCACAGAAACCTACTGAGTCAGTGAACCTGGGAAGAAATTCTTGCTGGGGAGGCAGTTGCCTTTTTAAGGAGAAGACATTTGAAGAGGTCACCTTGGTGTCAGAGGGACCACGAGATAGATGGATGCACAAAATATATGGTTTCTTACGTTCTAAGAATAAGGCCAAAATATTTCTAAAACTATATTTGCTCTTACCTGAGTGTATCAGTTCGTTCTTGCATTGCTATAAAGAACTGAGACTAGTAGTTTACAAAGAAAAGAGATTTAATTGGCTCACAGTTCTGCAGGCTATACAGGAAGCATGGCTGGGGAGGCCGCAGGAAACTTACAATCATTGCAGAAGGTGAAGGGGAAGCAGGCATATCCTACATGATGGGAGCAGGAGGAAGACAGCAAAGGGGGTGGTGCCACACACTTTTAAACAACCAGATCTCATGAGAACTCACTCACTATCATGAGAACAGCAAGGGGAATATCCACCCCCATGACCAAATCACCTCTCACCAGGCCCTCCTCCAGCACTGGGAATTACAGTTCGACATGAGATTTGGGCAGGAACATAAATCCAAACCATATTAACCAGCTATCCTTATGGAAACATAGTCTATTTGTGGTAGTAATAATAGGTAATGTGTACTGGCAGCTGTTCTCTTCCAGTTGCTGCTTTTGTGTGCTTTGCACAAATCAACGAATCTCATACGTTATTTTTTAGTGCGGGGATCCCTGACCCCCAGGCTGTGGTCTGCAGCCTGTTAGGAACAGGGCCACACAGCAGTAGGTGAGCGGTACAAGTGAGCATTACTGGCTGAGCCCTGCCTCCTGTCAAATCAGTGGCAGCATTAGAGTCTCATAGGAGCTCAAACCCTGTTGTGAACTGTGCATGTGAGGGATCTAGGTTGTGTGATCCTTATGAGAATCTGACTAATGCCTTGTGATCTGAGGTGGAGCAATTTCATCCCGAAACCACTTCCCAACCCCCCGTCCATGGACAAATTGTCTTCCACAAAACCGGACCCTGGTGCCAAAAAGGTTGGGGATCATTGTTTTAGTGCTGTGGAGTCATTACTGGAACAGTGTCAAACACTAGTATTACACCAGTGTGTAGAATTCTAGGTAAAAGAATTTACTGTGTGTGGAATTGTTCCTGTTTCTGAATGTTTATCAAAAATGTGGGATACGGCCAGGTGCGGTGGCTCATACCTGTAATCCCAGCATTTTGGGAGGCTGAGGTGGGTGGATCACTTGAGGTCAGGAGTTTGAGATCAGCCTGGCCAACATGGTAAAACCCTGTGTCTACTAAAAATACAAAAACTAGCCAGGCAGTAGTGGCGTGCTCCTGTAATCCCAGCTACTCAGGAGGCTGAGGCAGGAGAATCGCTTGAACTTTAGAGGCAGAGGTTGCAGTGAGCCGAGATTGTGCCATTGCACTCTAGCCTGGGCGACAGAACAAGACTCCATCTCAAAAAAAAGTGGGATACTTTTTCTGTGGCTCATGCCTGTAATTGCTGCACTTTGGGAGACTGAGGCAGGAGAACTGCTTAAGCCCAGGAGTTTGAGACCAGCCTGGGCAACATGATGAGACTATCACTTTGATGAACCAACTGTACAGGACAAGAAGAATTTTCAAAACCATGGACTGGGTTCTCTCAATGCTTATTTCTCTCTCCGTCTGTGTGTATCATGTCTGCAGCAATTGAGCAGCTCTTTCCTAATGGGCTGAATTAGAAGTGAAATTTACATTATATATAGATCTTGATCATACGATTTAAAAAATCTCTTTTTCTCCATCAACCCTTCCCCGTCATGGAACCTGCCCCAGCTGAAAATTGGGAGTTGTATTCCTAAGGAAGTTGGGGAAGGACACAGTGGGGAACAGCCAGCAGTTTCTGCTGAGGTCCCAGATATCCACATGCGTCTGTCTTCCCCTCCATAGAAAACTCTCACCTATTCCTCAAGGAAAACGGCCCTAGTATCACATTCGTTTCCTTCCACTCGGTCAGATTCAGGATCTCTGGATGATGGGCCCTTTTCTCTTTTAGGGCCGGATGTGCCTATTACAGTCTTGCAATCTGTTAGCTGAAACAGACGAGCTCTCTGCCCCTAGCACACCATGTGCCACGCTGCTGTAGTAGAAATCGGGACCATCAAGTCCCTCTGTACCCCCTGCACTGGCGGCCAGTATGTTTCCTTTTCGCTGTCTGGCAACCCGTGTTCTGCCCTCTGGGAATGCTCTTGCCCAGGATCTTTTGGGGCCACAGCTTTGCCTTCTGAAAGGGTCTTCTCTGTACCACATCAGAGACGGATACTGGAGAGGATGGGCTTCCAACACCCGCTTCCTGGGAGGATTTGGGGTCTGGGTGTTGTTTTGAGGACTGAATAGTCACAGCTTTTTATAGGCCAGCCTTAAGGTTTCTGTAGA